GAATTAGTCCATATCTGGAGGTCCTGGAGACGTCAACACTGGACGTTCAGAAAACACCAAAGAAAAGACGTTGTCTGGTATCACACTCTGCACCTTCGGGGACCGATATTGGACTTGCAGGAATGACCTGGAAAAGACGTCATTGCAACGGGATTTCTTTAAATGTATCATGTCAGATTTCTAATCCTTTGGTGCTCTTGTGGGAGCAGATATCCGGAGATGTTCAGCACACGAACCGCAGTTCGTTTCAACGATGATCCGAACGGAAACTGGACCGCCTCTGTACACCACTCTCAGTGTCAACGAAAGGGCTGTAGCACTGGAACACTGTACTACACACAAGTGAAGTGTTGCAGAAGTGTTTTGCATACGAATCTTTGGTCTGAGCTAGCGATGGGTACAGAATTCGGTACTTTTTAAGATACCAATCGAATTCCATAGTACCGACTGAGCACCGATTCACGTCATTTGAAACGGTGCCTCGTTTTGGTACCCGTCCCTCATAACGAGAACTTGCCTAGACAGCTGTGCATGCGCAAGAGCGTTATGTCGTCGGTCGCTGCGAGCCATTTATAAACAGAGCAGCATGGTAGAAAGAACGCACGCTAAAGCTTGGTCCACTTCACTAAATGTGATGGGTAACTGGGTGATGATGAAACCAGCGACAACGATCTAAGTGAGACATCCTCATCTTAATCTGCTCCGGTAGGTAAATAAAATGTTTAAGATAACGTTAGCTTGATTTGTTAGCTTCCGTTCCACTAATGGTGCGTTCGCTTTCTCCTCTGAACTCCGAAATTCCGACTAGAAGAACATGAACGCGCTCTAAAGTTTGGCTTCACTTTACTAAATGCGACGGGAGATTGGGTGAAGATGAAACCAGCGACAACGATCTAAGTGTGAGGCATCATCGTTTTAATCTGCTCCAGCAGCTAACGTTAGCTTGATAAATTAGCTTCCATTGCTACCATTGTTATCAGCTAATGGTGCGTTCGCTTTCTCCTCGGAAATTCTAACTTCCCAGTAGGAAAAATCAAATGAAAAAGGAATGAAGATACACAGTAAATTTAGTTCACAGTAAAGATGTTTGCTTCAGTTTAATTATCAGCTTATAAAACTACAAGGACGATGTTAAAATACAAACAGTTGTATGTTATTTATCGTGATATTTATCAAATATGGTTATATATTGAGAAAAATGTATATTTAATTATAAAAGAGAATTAAAATAATAAACACTCAAAAGAATCTAAGATTGGTACCGTTAAGTACCGGTATCGATTCCTAGGTACCAGGAATTAGTACCGAATTGATTCAAATGTCAAATGTACCCATCCCTAGTCTGAACAAAGCAGAAAGGAACAAGTGAAGATGCTAGGTCCACCATTGCACTCAGGGTGTGTGACTGCCCCGCCTACGCTCCCGTACACAATCACACTTGTTTAAAACATCCCATAAACTTTCTTTTACACGATTTCCAGCTTGAAATGATTTCCAGTGATTTCTCACAGCTGTTTGTGAGTGATGCTAGGATTTAGATCAGAACGCAGCAGCAGAGCCTGCAGAGCAGGACGGCAGCACTGGTGGTGGTCAAAAATCCTCCATTCAGGCTGCAAACATTTAAAACAACCATTCCTACGATCTGCAGGTAACTTCCTGTCAATCATACAGTTTCACAACGACAGCTCCTGAGCCAGGGCTCGAGTGGAGCCTCGGTACCAGAAACACCAAGGTTGTGTTGATCTGTTGCAGCTCAAAGAACAAGCAGAACGGGTTTCTGCTGTTCCTGGGAGGAGTGAGTAACTCCTAAAGAACGGGGAGTGATGTCCTCCAACTTCATCGTGGAGTAAATAAAATGCGGTCTTAGAAATGTTTTTTTTTATTTTCTAAAATCAAACGAATATAAAATAATAAGATTAAATCTCCTAAATAATCCAGAGGAGCGACCATTCGCTACACCCTTGTTTCATGATGTCTCAGTTTACTTGATTTTTACTCTCATTTGATTCTCAATAAATTCACTGTGTGAATGTGTGTGTGAATGTGTGTGTGAATGTGTGTGTGAATGTGTGTGTGAATGGGTGTGTGAATGTGTGTGTGAATGGGTGAATGACTGACTGTGTTGTAAAGCGCCTTGGGGGGTTCCAGGACTCTAGAAGGCGTTATATCAAATACAGGCCATTTACCATTTACAATCCTAGTTTTTCAATATTTTTTGCACTTTCTGACTTTCAGAGTTATGTTTCCCTTCCAGAAGGTTGCAGGTTCAAATCCCAACTAGGGTTAACACGTTCTCCTCATGCATGTGTTGGTTTTCTCCGATTTCCTCCCCCGGACCACAAACATGCTTTGAAGACACTAAATTGTCCCTTAGGCTGTGGAAACCTGGCCAGCGTGCCCCCCACCTACCACCCGATGGAGAGAGACACCAGCTCCCCGTGACCCTGTAACCCTCAGAAGATGAGCGAGTGAGAAGCGAGAGCGTGATCGCACACGAGTCGGAGCTCACAGTCATGTTTTGTTTGAAAATGATTGACAGTCCTATAATAAACCATAAACAATAAATTATCCCCATTTTAGTTTTGTTTGTTTTATTCGTGCCAACTTTTTCTCCCTCAGTCTAAATCCACAACCGCAAAAGCCTGAATAAGAGATTTCGATGCAAGCGAAGCTCACAGGAAGCAACGATCCGTGGTTCAGCTCCGTCTAGACAGCTTTTATTTTGAAAGTATGTTTGCATGCAGAGAAATAACTTCTCAGCATGAGCAAATATCCTCAAATCATCATGTCCACTGCCTCTCTGCAACCTGTGAGGGAGCAGATTCATATTATGTATATGCACATGCGCGCGCACACGCACGCACACACACAAACACGCACACACACACACACACACACGTTGCATAACATCTGATCCAGAGTGACGCTTCAACTCGGTGTCCCATCCTTGAGCTAATTCCCAGAACGAGTCTTAACATGTTGGAAACAGACGGGATCTGGAAGCACTGACATGGTGACTCGCAGCAGGATCAGCTCAGCCCATTGTGGAATTATTCCCGATAAATGAGGAGTGGTTTGATGATCCACCTGCAGACGCTCACAGAGGAACGAGAGTCATGCTGACAGTGAAGCTCTGAGTTAAACTTCATCAGGGTTTACATGCCGGTGTGCACGATCCTGGCGATGTCCCACGTCCCACCTAAACTATGGCTTTGTTGCTATCTTCTGTCCTCTTATGGAATATTTATGTGTAGATATTACTGACCAACACACAGGAAACCATGCTTCTTCCAGGCCAGTAAACAAAAATATCAACAATGATCTCATTAATTGAAAGAAAATCATCCGCCCAACCCAACCTGCCCTTAGACCCCTAAACTCCCCCCCCCCCCCCCCAACCCCCAAGCAATAACCAGTAGTAACTGGAGGACTTTGTTCAGAGTTGTTATTTAGCCGCGCTGGACAGATTTCCAGCCTGTTTAAGGTCAGAGGTCAGGATGTTCTGCTAGAGAGCAGCATCAGTTAGAGCAGGCAGTCCTGAAGCAGCAGATCAGCCCAGACCATCACACTACCACTACCATGTCTGATCGTTTTAGTGTCAGTTTGACTCCAGATGGAACGGAACACACACCCTCTAGAAAGTTATTTGCTTTCTAGAAAGTTCTTTGCTTTTGTTTTGTCAGCAGAGAATCTGCTGTTAGAAACGATCCAGTTCAGTCTCGACCTCATCTTTGAATCATGACGTCTGACTCTGACAGGCGGTTTAAATGTGGTTCTAAGTTCTTCTGAGCCCAGTGGCGTGTCTAGATTTATTAAAATGGGGTGGCCCAGGTGAGGCACAACTTTGTGCATGGGTGTCACCAATGGTTATGCTTCTTTTTGTTTTACCCCCAAGCCTTTTGTGGACAATGAAAAGCCTGTTTAAAGGTAAATTAGTGTGGTGGCACCTGGGGTGGCCAATCAGATTCCAAGGGTGGCATGTGCTACCCCAGGCCATTCCCTGGACATGCCCCTGTCTGAGCCCCAGACAGCATTTTGAGACCCTGTTTATAGCATTGCCGGTCCACCAGCTAAACAAGCACCAAAACACAGCATGCTGGTTTTTTTAGCAGGGAGCTGGGGCAGCCATCTTGAACTGGATTGACTTTAAGTCCAAATTCACTCGTTTTTTCAATACACGTGCAGCTATAAATGCTTTAGGGAGTCGATCTCTGTGGGGGAAAGCTCTGGCGCTCCTGTTTCAGGAAGTAGACGTTAGTCTGAGGACAAGGAGCAGAAAATGGAAGGATTTGGAGTCTTACTCATCATTTCCTGGTATTCTGACATCTCTCCTCTGATTGAGTAACAGAACGTGAACCACAGACTCTGTTTGCTCTACAACGTTGATGTTTGATCTCCACAAATAACCCAAGCCTGAAGGAGTTCTGCTGTGTGGTGGAGTTGCTAATGCTAATGGTTAGCTACTAGCCGAGACATCCTCTTCTGTTTCCTGGATGCTAAACCAACAACAGCCTTCCCCGTCTGTTGTCAACTGGCAGCTAGAGCAGGAAAACGGCTAGAAGACCATTTCCACATGTTGGACTCGGAGTGTCTGATTAGATTTAAAAAAGAACAGGTAAGAATCATTTTTGTGCTCTTTTTAAGTGAATCAGTGTCAGGTGAACAGGAACCCTCTCTCAGCTGTGGTCCACAAAGTTCTCAGCGCTTCAGATTTCTGATAGAATGTTGTTAAAATAGATCTAAATGATTTGGATTGGACAAAACCGACATGTCACATGTAAACACAAAGTCTCACGTGGACACAAGACTGGGCACGGCCACTCGCAGCAGGGCTAAAAGCAGGCCTGCTGAGGTTTAGAGGAGTAAAGCCGGATCTTCTAGACTGATCTCTGACGTCGTCCGCAGGTAACGGGCCGCAGCTCTTCCTGAACGATGGGCGGGGTCGCAGGAACAAGGAGGCCGACGGGAGGGAGGGGACAAGGTGCTGGGTTGGTGGAGAAGTTTGGCTGACCTTCAAAACAAGGCCATGTGACTGGAAAGATGAGGATGCAGGGATTAGACAACGCTATAAAAGCGCAAGAAGAACAAAGTGCATCTTATTACAAGGAAGGATCAGGTGTGAGCAGAGGCATCGTGGGATTTCTGAGGCGACAGGTAGGACGCTGCCAAAGAGGGTTATTAACTGTTACTTACCACACCTACTGCTGCAGGTGAGCTAAAACTGAGAGAGTAGGCAGTCACACAGTTCTATAATCTCAGATTTAAGATTAAATGTTGTTGGGATCAGCTGAAGCCGTCAGTTTCAGACAGATTAATGTAAGAATGATTTGATTTAATCGATGAGAGACGCAGTTATTGATGCTGCTTGTGTTACGTGACGTCATCGATAGAAGTGTTTACTGTCCAAGAGCAGCAACCGGATCACCAGGGGAAGGGTGAGGAGGATAAACGGAGAGATAAGCTGGATCATGTATGGGGGGTCGTTTTTTAAACTTTTATTATAAGAAATTATAATAATGTTTAATAAGTATTTAGAAAACAACACAAATGTTTAAAGTTAACATCTAGAATCTAAAAAATACAAAAAGTTTAATCTGAATATTTGAAATTTAAACTCAAGTATTTAGAATATATCCATCCGTCCATCTTCTGGGCCCACTTTATCCGTGTAGGGTCACGTGCGGGGGTGGGGGGTGGGGGGTGGACTGGTGCCTATCTCCAGCAGTCAATGGGCAATCGGGCGGGGTACACCCTGGACAGAGAGCCAGTCCATCGCAGGGCAACACAGAGACTCACTTACACCTAAGGACAATTTAGACAGACCAATCAACCTAACAGTCATGTTTTTGGACTGTGGGAGGAAGTTGGAGTACCCAGAGGGAAACCACACATGCACAGGGAGAACATGCAAACTCCACGCAGAAAGATCCCAGGCCGGTAATTGAACCCAGGACCTTCTTGCTGCAAGGCAACAGCTCTAACCACTGCGCCACTGCGCAGCCCCAAGTATATATATATATATATATATATATATATATATATATATATATATATATATATATATATATATATATATGAATACATATATGTACATATATATATACATATACATGTACATATATATATATATATATATATATATATATATATATATATATATATATATATATATATATATATATATATATGTACATATAATAAAAACACCTGTGAATCACTAGAGGGTGATAAAATGATGGGAAATGAAAACGAGGTCAAGAATGAAGGTATTTTACCTGCTGCACATGGGGAAGAACAGCTTGGATTAGAGCTAATCTGCCTGTTAAATCTCAGTAATCTTCACTGATTGGCATTAAGGGCTGGAAGGAAGATTTGCACGAAGCAACAGAAGGCAGGAAGGAAAACGTTTAAATTTAACTCTGTTTTTCAGACACTCATCAGTCATGAACGCCAGTCCTCCTGCAGGAAGCGCCCTGGCTCCTGGAGGAGCCACCGGCCCCACCACACCCAAAAAGGGCCCTCCCAAGTTCAAGCAAAGACAGACCCGCACATTCAAGAGCAAGGCTCCCAAACCAGGACAGAAGGGGTACGACCTCGCTTCGGCTCGTTTGTGTTGTTGGAATGAAGCGTAACGATTCCCTGACATCTCCCTTTTTCCTGTTCCTGCAGCTTTGGTGACGACATTCCCGGCATGGAGGGCCTTGGCACAGACATCACAGTGGTGTGCCCATGGGAAGCCTTTGGCGACATGGAGCTGAGCGACCTGGCCAAATACGGCATCATTTAAACATCCCGCACCTCACCCGTCATCCTGTCCGTCCTGCCTTCTGTCCGTCTCAGCTAGGCACGCCGTCATGAGGCTGCCGGTGACCCCTAATGCCCTCTCGTCTGCCTACCTCGTGCTCTAAGCCTCTAAGTGAATGCTGTTATTTTTATATTATTACTATATTAATACTGTTTACAGTATTATACTTGAAATGTGAAGACGAGAAACCTCCATGTTCCTTGTCCCTTTTCTGTGGAAAAGTAGCTCTCCTGATGTCTTTTCTCTCTTCCATCTGCCATCCTTTCGTACCCACGGCAGTGGAAGCCCAACGCTAGCTCAGGACCAGCTCGTACGAGCTCCTAGCTGTCTGTTACAATGTAAATAAAGAGTTTGTCTTCCCTCTGTGCTCTGCTCTTCCGTTCTCCTGCACTGCCTCCTGCTCCTCGTGACAGAGGACGCCGTTTAAAAGGGAAACTTGACGCAAAAGATGAAAACGACGGTGCGCTTCATGTGATCATGGAGGAGGAGGTCCAAGTCCGTTTGTGTTGAAGCCTGTTTCCCATTAGAACATACTGTAAAGACCCCCCCCCACTCCTAAAGTGAAAACTATGTCCATGCGGGGCACTGATGGTTTTTGGGAGTGGGCCTTAGCAGAGAAATCACTGAATCATCACGATTTATCCAGTAGAAGGTTGAAGACAGACAAGTGTTTCCACCCAGACCGCTTTAGATGT